ACACACACACACACACACACACACACACTCACTCACTATATACACTCAAATATTAGGCATATATGGATGAGGATAAAAATAGAAGGGGCGGGGGGGGGCGGGGGTGATTATAATTGTTTGGGCAAAGTAGCGGCCTACAACATTCAAACACACACACACACACACACATACATACACACACAGTGAAGGAGCATCAACAGATATGATCACTTCAATGAATGCATCTGCAGCAGAGAAACTGCAGCCACAGCCAGGGTTTATGGACAGAACCAACAGAACCAACAGAACCCACAGAACCAACAGAACCAACAGAACCAACAGAACCCACAGAACCAACAGAACCCACGGTCTGTTCTCATTAATAACACACGGGAAATGATAGAGCACAGCCCACAGGTCTGGATAAGAATTCATTAATGGACCGGTACAGTCAGTCTGAGGATGTGACTGTGTGTGTGTGTGTGTGTGTCACTCGCACATCTATCCCGGGTGTTGCTGCTGCTGCTGCTGCTGCTGCTGTGAGGACTGTGTGTGTGTTCAGGGCTAAGACGCTGGTGAGTTTTCAGGCGCAGCAATGACAGAGGGGTCAAAGCCCCGGTGCGTCGTCCGTTTCCACCTCTCCATCTCCGGTCATCCATCTCTCCAGCGCCAGCGGCCCAACAGATGCCGACACCCGAGCCCCCTATTCCCGTCTCATTGACGCGTAGCCCCCCCTCTCTGCCGAGTTGCAATTAATCCAAGCACTTACAGAGACTCTCGGCGTGTGTGTGTGTGTGTGTGTGTGTGTGCGGAAGAAGAAGAAGAAGAAGACAAAAACAAGTGTCCAGCCACTGCGGAGCTCATGGATCACCGACCAGCACCACAGACAACAACTCACCGTGTTTCAGCAGCCCGTCCCCCCTCTGTTCCTCCGTCCCTCCATCCTTTTTCACATCATTCCTTTATGAGGTATCCGTTTTGCGGGTGTCCCCCGCCGCCGCCGCCGCCGCCACTGCCGCCACCGCACACGCACGGACGAAGGCACGCACGCACTCTGGCGCGCGCGCTCACGCACACACACGCGCTCCCAGGCGCACACGCTGGGGAAAAAATATATATGCACCTCAATATATATGTGTTCTACATGTATTCAATTTCTACTCTCCCTCTCACCCCTTACCTCCCTCCCTCTCACCTCTCTCTCGTCCCTCTCTCGCTCTCTCTTTCTCACTCACCGTCTCTCTCCCCCTCTCTTTACCCGTTCTTTTGTTAAAATTCAGTATATGCGCCCCGTCACCTAGCAACCTCCCTCTCTCTTCCTCCCCCTCTCTCCCTCCCCCCTCTCTCCTTCACTGGCGACACGTGTTGAATGCTAAACTTAGCGGTGGGAGATCAAATTCATAAAGAAATGGAAGCTAGAGTTCTCTTCCCTCACACTGCCTCCCTCTTTACCTCCCCTTCCCTCCCTCCTTCACCATCACTCATACCATAATGCAATATAAATATTTACTAGAACCACTCAGCCTTCTCATACCCCCCCCACCACCCTCCCTCTTTGAATTTGCGTCCCACTGCATTTACCCCTCCCTCCCTGCCTTCCTCGCTACATCCATCTATTCATCCAACCTCCTTGCCGTCCATCCATCCATCTCTACTGCCCCCCTCCCTTTGTCCCTGCAGCCCTCTCCCGTCCTGCCTCCTATATCTCCCTTTTCTGCTTCTCCAAGCAAAACGCAGCAGCAGCAGCCGCAGCAGCAACAGCAGCAGCAGCAGCAGCTGTGGATCCACACGTGAGTGTCACCCTCTGCTCGACGCCTCTCTTCTGTCTCTCTCTTCTGTCTCTCTCTTCTGTCCTCTCTTCTGTCCTCTCTTCTGTCCTCTCTTTCTCTGCTGCAGCCTCTTGTCCGGGTGCGCGTTAACTTGGTGCGTGTGTCGAATAAATCTATATCATGTCGGTGTGCTAGTGTGTGACCGCGTGTGTGCGTGGGAGCTGTGTGTGTGTGTGGGGGGGGGTATTATGACACACTGCAGCTCAGTTGTTAAACTGCTGCTGTTCAGTTAATAATGACACATATTTATATTAAAGATATATTTGTCTGTCTGTCTGTGTGTGTGTGATCCCAGTCATTTCACTGACACTGATCATGAACACAGTGGTCAATAATCACTGACAGTCTGTTGTTGTTTATATTCATCAGTCATTTCATCATCACTGTTTGCCCCGTTGCTCCGCTCTCTCACCCTCCCAGAGTGAACCTGTGGGGGTGGGGGTGGGGGGTATAACTGGACTCTGGGGTAGTTCCAGTTGGCAGTTTACTGTAACATTTCATTGGAAAACATTGACAAAGACCAACCTCCAGTTCTGTGTCCCACTGCCATTTAATTGCTTCACTGGATGAACTGGGTGGAACCAAGCACATCCTAACCAAAGGGTGTGGAAGTGGGGGGGCAGAGGGGGTATTTATTCCCTTCAGTGTTGTTGTTGGGAGTCCATCTGCCTCGGATGTCATTAAACAAACACACTGATCCACTGGGTATAAAGTCAGATTTCCACCGTCCTCCTTCTCCTGCAGCAGCTGGGCCGTAAAGCCAGAGGGATGAGGGCTGAGCCGGGCTGAGCCCCGCAGCTTTAGCATCAAAGAACTGCAGCCTTGACATGGAGGGGTGGGTGGGGGGCTGGGGGTTAATGAAGGATGGGTGAGATAAAGGGGTGTGAAGGTGCAGGAGGACAGGAACTACTGCAGAGCCACAGTTTGAGCCACCATCTCACAGACAGAGCCGGCCCTAATCCACTCTCTGCCCTGACGATTCCACACTTGTCTCTAAATCCCTTCCACTTCTGGATTCATTTTTGTTTTTGCTTTTTTTTTTTTTTTTCAGTGCCACGGATTGAGAACCCCTGCCCACCCCCACCCCTGACCCGGGGACAATCAAAAGGATCATTCTAATTATAGAGAAGGTCAGATTTCTTTACTTTGTCTACACACATTACAAACTGCGTGAAGACAAAGCAGCATCTTCACTGCCCTCTGTGGACAAAAGCTGGCGCTGTTACGCTCTCATTCAGATTAATGATGACATTTAAGAGCACTGAACAATTTCCAACAACATCCATAATTCATCTGGGAACGTCCCCACCCTCCCAGGATCTATGGAATCAAGGACGTGTTGCTGAGATCACAAATACAAAAAAAAACATGCTGTAAATGAATAATTCTTTTTCATAACTGGAGTCTGAGGAATTGATTAGGAGGGGTGGGGGGGGGAGGGGGGAGGGGGGGGGGGGGGGAGGGCACTATCTACATGTACTGTAGGGGGATGTAGTTGTCCTTATGTTGAAGACTGCACTGATTACTCCGATCATCACTTCAGTCATAATGAGCCCAGTGGCCCAGTCCGTCCAGTGGCCCAGTCCGTCCAGTGGCCCAGTCCGTCCAGTGGCCCAGTCCGTCCAGTGGCCCAGTCCGTCC